GGACGAGAAGCAATGGGTGGAAACTGATCAAGGAGAGAAGCAACTTAGAACTAAGGAGAAACTTCCTGACAGTTAGAACAATTAACCAATGGAACAACCTGCCTCCAGAAGTGGTGAATGCTCCAACACTGGAAGTTTTTAAGAAGAGACTGGACAGCCGTTTGTCTGAAATGGTGTAGGGTTCCTGCCTGGGCAGGGGTTTGGACTCGATGACCTCCAAGGTCCCTTCCAACTTTATTATTATTATTATTATTATTATTATTATTATTATTATTATTATTATTATTATTATTATTATTATTATTATTATTATTATTATTATTATTATTATTATTATGTCCCTCTCTCTCTCTCTCTGCAAATGGCAGAGGAGGCTGGGAGCCACAGGAGAAGGCTCAAAGAGCCACATGCGGCTCCGGAGCCGCGGGTTGCTGACCTGTGCTTTAGGGTCTATCATTCTGTTGGGAGGGGGGATGCTTTGGGGATGCTTTGCACTGTCTTGCTATTGTGCCCTTCCCCCAGGGGATGGAATGTATCACCCTTATCTGAGAGACGGTTGCGCTTGGAGCCAGAAGGAAACGAAAACAAGAGAGACCTTGAAAGTACGCGCCAAAGAACCCAATTACCAAAACAATATGCCACCTGTGGATTGGCTGGAATTCAAATGAACACTGGGATTCTGGGGGGAGGAGTATTGAATATTGTTTTTAATATATTGTTTCACAGGTTTTTCCTCAGACCTCGCCATTTTTACAAAGTTTTCTGGTATTTGGAATTCCTTTTTAAGGCATTTATTTAATAACAATCACTAGTTTAGAAGTGTGATGAATTGGCACTTTAATTGTAATTATGTAATTAGGACTGATATAATTATATTTCTTAGTATGGCTCATTGAATGCTTATAAGTAGCTGTTGAAACAAATTATGAGAATAAATAACAAAATGTATTCATAACATCTGGACATGCTAACTAATTAAAATGTCAGAGTTATTTTTATAAATTTTGGCTACAGTTAAATGTTCAATAATACACTTCTGTATTTTAACATGGCCATATGGTTATAATGATGAGAGTTGTGAATAACGTACTTGGAGAAAGGCTTCTCTAACAATCCTTCAGTTTGTGGTTAGGGTTTATATGTGGCACCAGACCTAACAGCCTCAACCTTGCTTGAGAGGTTGAGATTTGACTTTTCCCCTAAGCATTTGGAGCCAGTTGAGTGGAATTTCCTTTTGGTTGTTTTTATGATAGTGCTTGGTCACCATTTGATGTTCTGTACTTCACATTCATATTTTAAATGTGGGATGGAATGGGATTTAATTTATTATTTATTTTTTGGATACGATATGTTGTCCAGAGTCACATGTTTGAGTTGGATGGATTTATAAATCTAGTAAGTAAGTAGTAAGTAAATAAATAAATCAGCCAAATGTTATAAATAAAAATATAAATTAATAAATGGCTTGTTCATAAAATGAGATTAAAATGAACTATGTGCTTCATGTGATGTAGGAATGCAGTTAAGATTTCAAAGCTGTCAACCCATTTCTAGTTCTATGTAACTTTCATCTGCTTACATAGAAGCTAAAGTGTGAACTTTTCCAAAATCACTTGTAATTCAAATAAATATTTTTGTTGCTATTATTTTCCCTCTTTTCTTTTAGTCCATTTTTCTGTTAGCATGATCATGCTGATCAGTGATTTATTATGTCCCATCAAGTAATTTTCGTCTCCTAGATACCACACAGATGCTGTGCTTGACAATCTGTCCCTAACCTGCTCTTTTAGGTTTAGTCATCCAATATTGCATCCATTGCTTCTGTAACTAAGTCCATTCACCTTGCTGCTGGTCATCCTCTTCTTCTCTTTCCTTCCACCTTTCCTTGCATTAGTGTCCTTTTCTGAAAAACCATGCTACCACTTAAAATTTATTGATATCATTGGAACTGACTTGTGAACAATTTATTCAGAAAAGGAAAAAAGACAATAGCAGTGTTTAAATACACTGGATTGGAAAAAAAACGTATTCACTAACATTTATGAATAATCAGGTACTTTGAAATAATAATTTGGTAATTTGTAATCCCCCCAAATATTGGTTTTAAGAAATGCTAATTGGTGTTCATAAATTACATCCATAATTCTAAAAACCATAAAGAATGCCAGAATTTGGATAATTTAATAATACTAGTATTTTCAACATGAAAATCTCAGAATGATGGGCTATGAAATAGCTGGAAAATCAGCATGTTTTGTTGTGACTTTCAGGTGCAAATCAACCTATCTTGTTTTTATTTTTGCCATTTTTGTTATGATGTTATGATATAGGTAGAAATGAGCCCATTGGAGAATGCTATTGAAGTATTGGAAAATAAAAACCAGCAGTTAAGGACATTGATCAGTCAGTGCCAGACTCGACAGATGCAGAATATCAATCCACTTACAATGTGTTTGAATGGTGTAATTGATGCAGCAGTTAATGGAGGAGTTGCCAGGTATCAAGAAGTAAGTGTGGTTCCATATGTGTTGGGGTTAGATTGCATTCTTGTTACAGTACTCCAAATACTAGTTGCTAAGGAGTAATAGTAGAAAAAAGTTGTAGTTTTATAACTTTCAGGTACTTTAAGGTGTCCATTAGGTTCTATAGAATACTATATTATTAAGTATTATATGCGTCTTCATCCTTGCCAAGATTTTTTTTTATTCTCTTATTCTCCCAATTCACTAAACCTAATTTAAATAAATGCAAATGTTTTATTTAAATTTATTGATATATTAATTACAAATACTTAAAATCTGAATGGCTAATATTTTGATTGATTTTCAAATCTGTAATATTTATTATATAAGTAGTCTTTAACAATCATAAATGGGATTGGAAACTCATTCATTGAGTGAAGCAGTCATTAAATAAGATGCCCGTGTGACTGCTGTGTTCAATGATTGCAATCCTGGCTCTCCTGATTGCAGTTTGTCAGGGCCCACTTCAAAACCTTATCCCAAGAAAGCAGGACTCTTGGAACAGTTTCTTTCCAAAAGGAACTTTTATTAGGAGAAGCTGATAGCAGGCATGATAGGCAGGATCTGAGGGTTTCCCGCTCAGATCAATAGATTAAAAGAGTCCCAAGCATAACCCCAATAGTTCATCCAGTCAGTTTGAATGGGCCAATCCCCAGGTGTTAAGTCTACTGTGGGAAAGGAGCTGATAACGGGGTCCTTTCCATGCTTGTGAAGATGTTGTTGGGTCTTCGCACCTTCCCTTCCGCAGCGAGAGATAAGCCAGATGGGCCAGAGGCACATTCCTTTCTCACCCCAAGGTAACATCAAGGGAGAGACAGTTCAAAGAGTAAGTATGTAGGAACAGCGGAAAGGCTACATTGTAGCAAAGCAGAATAACATATCACAGAGCCTTCCCCCTCCCCCTCAGGAGAATGGCAGAACCCTCAGAAAGAAATGAATTAGGAAAGAAATGAGATAGATACCCCCCCCCCCCGGGAAAGAATGGGTTCTGACACAGTTATTAAGTGATCTCTTTGGTTGGGAAAGAGCTGCCTGCTAAAGGATTTCAACTGCATACAAAGCTGAAATCCCCCTTGGACACAGCTCTGAGAGTGAAAGGTCTGCCTGCTGGAGACTTCAGTTCCTAGGAAATAGCCTTTTGCTCTCAAACATTCTTGCAGCCCACCAAAGTATTTTCCATCCTGACTGAGTATGGAAGGAAATCTTTTGTGGGGCAGTCAGAACAGACCTGAAATTCTGAAGATTTTAGTTCCGTTCCTGTAGCCCTCAAAATATTTCAACTCACCTCTTTGCCCTCTGCTGCAATTTTCCTGCTGACTTCCCCATTGACTTTCTGGGGAAGTCAGCAGAGAAGATTGCAAATGGCGATCACAGATCATGGGGGGAGGGAGGCTTGGCAACCTGTCGTAAGTGCAGACCAATCACCGAGCATCCAGATAATGATCCTGTGGGGGACGGTGTAATGTTTTGCAATGCTTGAAAGTGCTTTATAGGCCACAGAGCACTCTTTTCAAAAGTTTTTGTTAATTTGACTCATTGTTAAATAAGGACGACCTGTATGCTTTCTTTCTTTAAGAGACTCAGAACAAGTACAGTATATTATACTTCTGTTTCCTCATCATTATTATCAAAACAACTCTGAGAACATTAGACTGAGGAAGTTGTGAATTTCTATGTATACTCAGATTTGAATATTTTACTATCTAGTATAGTATTCTCATTATTACACTATTCTTTTCTATGTGTAAAATAACATTGTGAGAATACATTTTTGCTATGTCATCATCAATGTACTATGATGCATGCACTGGCAACATTTATTTTTTTAATTTTATTTATTTATATGTCACCTTTATTATTTTTACAAATTACTCAATATGACGAACATTCAACGCCTCCCATTTTTCCCACAATAAAAAAACCTGTGAGGTGGGTTGGATTGAGAGACAGTACTGGGCCAATGTCACCCAGCTGGCTTTAATTTTTATTAACCATGCTGCTTAAGACAAAATCAAATGTCAGGGTGGGGGAAGATAAACTGGAGGACAATGTGGAGTCCTCATTTTCTGGCAGATAAATATTAATTTCTGCTACAGATATGGGTCCATGAATTTGCAGTTCCCATAGTATTGAATGAAAGACTGCAGAGAAGAGCAACAAAGATGATTCAGCACTGGAGGTTAAAACATATGAAGAACAATTGTAGGAATTGGGTATGTTTAGTTTAATGAAAAGAAAGAATAGGGGTGATATTTTAAAAGTGCATTGATTTTGAGAATCCCAAAATGTGAAAGTCTTCCCCTTTGATGTAGATTTTGTTACCATATTAACCTACTATGTTTACTATTTTATCAATGAATACATTTTTATCAATTCATGATATATAACTCTGATGTAAGAGACCTGTAGCTAGATATCCTAGATTTCAAAATAGATCAGAGAACGTGATTCCATGTAATATAATAAGAATGTTTGCAAATGTTTGTATAATTCAAGTAACTTAAACAGGTACTGACAGAACTCAGTGCATTTAGACCAGACATAGATGGTCTAAATAGTAGTCAGGGTAATGTTAGAGAAACAGGATTTTTCTGTAATACTCGTACTATATGCACAAATTTGAAGTAATATGGATGACTTCATGCAATGGTTGTTTTTTTCTCAGGCATTCTTTGTGAAGGAATATGTTCTGAACCACCCAGAGGATGGAGAAAAGATCACATGCTTAAGAGAACTGATGCTTGAGCAGGTAAAAGAAAATTCAAGCAAGCTGCTTTCAATCTATTTTAACCGAGTTGGCATATACCTAGGAAAAAGCATTACATTGTAGCAATTTTCCATTGCAATCCTCTATTGAGGATTTTTCAAGTATTTAGAAGGACTGGACAGGGAAGAACAAGCAACCTTGTTATTAATTAGCAAAGGGATGTATGATAACTTCTTCCAGTACTTGAGAGACTTGAGAGAAGAGGGGGGTCAACCTATTCTCCAAAGCACCTGAAGGCAGGACAAGAAGCAACAGGTGGAAACTAATCAAGGAGAGAAGTCACCTGAAACTAAGGAGAAATTTCCTGACAGTGAGGACAATTAATCAGTGGAATGACTTTGCCTATGGAAGTTGTGGGTGCTACAACACTGCACATTTTAAAGAAGAAATTGGACCAGCATTTGTCTGAAATGGTATAGGGTTTCCTGCTTGAGCAGGGAGTTGGACTAGAAGACCTCCAAGGTCCCTTCCAACTATTAGCAATTTACTAATTTACTAACCTAAGAATGATGTCAAGAAGTGGCTAAACAGATAGGGTTTTGTTCTCAATATCTGTATATACTTTGCAATAATAATCAATTGTAAGGAAGTATGGATAAAGAGCAAATAAATTCCATCTGGCTTAGTGAAGATAGGAAAGCAGAAATAAAGCTGTGATTTTAAGTAATTTCCAATATTATCTTGTAATTTTAATTCTCTCTTCCTCTAAAATTGATAATGAAATGTTTAAACTAGACAATTGTTGAAATGTATTATTGTGTGTACTAATTTGTGCTGGGTTTCATATCTGGTCATTGTCTTTGTATGGAGCTCAGAATAGCCAGTAGCACTCCTTGAACACTGCTATCAAAAGCGAGGCAATTAAATAGATAGAACTCTGATTAAATCTCATAATACATTGTTTAATGATCTTAAATGAGACCAGAATTTCCATCGCTACGTGAAGCAAAAACACATGTGATTGCATTACTTAGCAACAGCAGTTCTGATAGCCCTAGTTGTGGTTTTTAGGATAGGACCATCTCATCATTAGACAAGAACCTCATGCTTCCTTGCAGTGCTTGCTTTGGTTTTCCCCACCCAGCTATTTCCGCCCACTGCCATTTTGGCTGCCCTGTACTCCACTGCCATCTAGCCTGCTAGTCCCCACCACTCTAGCTGACTTTTGTTGTCTTCTTCCTGCTGCTGCTGCTGCTGAGGCACACCTAGTCCTTCCGGAGGCCTTGGGGGGCTTCAAGAACACTGTGCAAGACCTCCATGAGGCATAATGAAGGCCAGCAGCTGCCTAGGTCAAGTGCACCTTGTCAGCAGCAGGAGGAAGAAAGCAGTGAAGGTAAGCAGGGTGCAAGGGCGAGGAGGGCAGAAAGGCCAAAAGAGCAGAGACGGGAGAGATAGGCAGGTGGGGGGGGGGAGTGAAAGTGCCTGCAGCAGTTATAAATGCAGGTGGGCAACCAAGAGCCCAAATTTGGATCATGTGTTTGTGGGAGGCAGTGTAGTGGCCATAACTTTAAGGGCTGGTCATAACTACCAATCATTCAGCATCATTATAACTTCATACAGTCACTGAACAAATGGTTGTTAAGCGAGGCCTACGTGTATTAGAGTTAAAAAGTCTGATCTTGGAAGTTTTCAGTTTGATTTATAGCTTATTGTCTTGCCCAAATCAAGCAAGCTTTATTGTTAATTTTAACTGTTATATATTTGAAGTAAAATTTGGTTAGCAATTGGCATTGGAAGCTGGCTTGTTTCATCAAAACTTCGTAGTTCCTTCTTGGAGGAAAAATATAATTAGGGTTCAGATAAAGTACTAATCTTTGATTAATGAGTGTCTGACATTAATTGGTTTTTAGTCCCCTCACTAAATCATGAGTCATCCATACTGTCTCAGTAAGAGCTGAGTATATAGCATTAATAGTACAAATTCCTGAGTTGTATTACTGTAGAATTGAACTGTGTGTGTGTGTGTGTGTGTGTGTGTATTCAAATAATTTGTTTTGGTTTTTGTTCTAAGGCCCAGATTCTTGAATTTGGCTTAGCTGTACATGAGAAGTTTGTCCCACAGGATATGAGACCTTTACATAAAAAACTGGTGGATCAGTTTTTCGTGATGAAATCTAGTTTAGGAATACAGGTATGTGAGATTTATGCTGACAGGTCTTCCAAATACACAATATACTTGAAGCCAAATACAGAAATATCTGCATCTAAAATAACATTTTTATTAAGCAATAAACAGTGACATCTTCTGGCTGCATGGCTATATTGCTTTTCTTAAAACTGTGACTTCAACTTTTCCCACAAAATATTAAGATGTAAAAATATCTTTAAAACAGTAATTCTGATTGTCAAATTTGAATTTAGGAATTTGCTGCATGCATCCAGTCCAGCCCAGGTCACTTTCCAAATGGAAGCCCATGTGTCTCTAGAAATTCAGTCCCTATTTCCATGAGTCCAGAGGTGGGCAGAATTCCTAGACGTGGGTAAGTTAAAGCTACAAACAAACAAACAAATAAAAAAAGCTTCCTGTGGTTCTAATTTAGGGACATCTTTTATAAAGTGTATAACAGGGATGGGATAATATTCAAAAAACTTAAGACAGTTCTGATCTTCTAAAATGATTGTATATAGCTGCCAAGAGAGGTTATGAAGTATTCATAAAAGGATTGGATAGGTTACTGTGATGGGAGGGGTAATGTAGGGGGAAAATAGTTGTATTGCAGAATTTGGAAATAGACTATTCTCTTGTTGTGATGTGTCAGAAAACATTCTGAAATGAATTAATACTACCCATTCATACATAATCTTTCACAATCAGTTTAAAAATATCAATAGAGGTAGTCCTTGATTTACAACCACTATTGAACTCAAAATTTCTGTTGCTAAGTGAGACAGTTGTTAAGTGAATTTTGCCCCATTTTATGTCCTATCTTGCCACAGTTGTTAAACTCCAGCTGTTAAGTGAATAACACAATTGTTAAGTGAATCTGGTTTCCCTGTTGACTTTGCTTGTCAGAAGGTTACAAAGTGTGATCACATGGCCCAGTTGTCATAAATATGAGTCAGTTGCCAAGTGTCTGAATGTTTATCACATGACCATGGAGATGCTGCAATAGTCGTTAGTGTGAAAAATGGTCATAAGTCACTTCTTTCAGTGCTGTTCTAAATTCAAATGGTCATTAAATGAACTGTTGTAAGTTGAGCACTATCTGTGAATGTATATTTTATACATGGATCCTGTGGAATTAAACTATTAAAAGTAGGACATGATAAACTGAAATTAGAATCAGGATTAATGAAATTTGTTCTGTTCTTTGTTTGCAATAGTCCATTAAGTTACCCAGCTATCAACAGATACTCTTCTTCATCATTGTCCTCTCAAGCATCTGCAGAGGTCAGCAATATAACTGGACAATCCGAGAGCTCGGATGAAGTTTTCAACATGCAGGTACCAGATGATACCTCATCTGAGATGGGTATATGTACATCTTCTAAGGCTTTTTATAGGATGGGAAATTGTGTGAGAAAGCAGCAAATCCAAAAGAGACTGTGAGGATTTGGATTTAATACTGAGAGTTGAAACAATGTAAACAGTGTAAACAGAAATTAACTTGTAAGTCATTATATAATAGCATTATGTTTAAAACAATGCATCTTTAAAACATAGTTCTAGTAACCAAAAGCTAATTAATGAATATATCAGGGGGGGAAAGTTAACTCTTTCATTCATCTCCAGAGGAAAGTGGTTTCTTTTGTATGGTAAAGGCCCAAAGATACAATATGTATCTTTATCAAGCATGTCTAGTGTATGGTTGCTTTATTAAATAACATGACTTTTAACATGTAGGCATGTGGGCAATTGCTGTACTACTTATTCTTAAATATCCACAAAGGAAGCAGTGATAACTAATAGCAATAGCAACAGCACTTAGACTTATATACTGGCAAATATCTGTAGTTCGGGTGTAGGATGAGGGTGACAGTTCATTCTCCGAACTTGGGAGGTGTTTTCCGAACTTTAATTACCAGGCTAGTTTAGGGCACAGGTCGGCAACCTGCGGCTCCGGAGCCGCATGTGGCTCTTTGAGCCTTCCCCTGCGGGTCCCAGCCTCCTCTGCCATTTGCAGAGAGAGACAGACAGAGCCTCTCTCTCCCTCTCCCTCTCCCTCTCCCTCTCCCTCTCTCTCTCTGTGTTTGTGTTTTGTAGTGTGTGTGTGTGTGTGTGTGTGTGTGTGTGTGTGTGTGTGTGTGTGTGTAAAAAAAAGAGAGTGGACTCACGGTGTTCTCCGACGAGCTGAAAAGCTTACTGGGTGGAGCTCCTGCCTTGGCTGCGTCTCTGCAGGAAACAGGAAGCAGGAAGGGCAGAAGAGAGCTAGCTAGGCCAGCTATGCTGGCTCAGGAATTCTGGGAGTTGAAATCCATAAGTCATAAAAGAGCCGAGGTTGCCTGCCCCTGAGCTTGTTGGAGAACAGCTTGAAGCCAGCTTGCCAGGTGAGCAGAAGATCGGAGAGAGGGAGAGGGGGGGGAGAGAGAGAGAGGGAGAGAAAGAGAGAAAGAAAGAGAGAGAGAGAGAGAAAGAAAGAGAGAGAGGAAGAGGAAAGAGAGAGAGGGTGAGAAAGAGAGAGGGAGAAAGAAAGAGAGGGAGAGGAAAGAGATAAAGAGAGAGAGAGAGAGAGAGAGGAAAGAGAGAGAGGTCCTCTTGGGGGAAGAGGACTGGCAGACCAAGGGCAGAAAAAGAGAGAGGGAGAGGGAGAGAGAGAGAGAGAGAGAGAGACCCTTTTGACATCTAAAATGGAGATAACACTGCATATACCCTTTTTACCTTTATGATATATATCATATATCATATCATATCATAAAGACAGGATCCAGCTAGAAAACCAAGGAGTCTATGAAATACCATGTAAAATCTGCCCAGCCACATACATTAGACAAACTAATAGGAGAATAAATGCCCGCATTGCAGAACACAAGAACGCAGTCAGAAAAGAAGAAAAAACTTCCTCCCTCTTCCAGCACCTTAAAGCTACAGGACATGAAATTGATTTTGAAGGAACCAAACTAATCTCCAAAACTGAACACCACAACAAGAAAATAATTATGGAAGCCATCAAAATAGAAAAACACCCCCACAACATGAATAAACGTGACGATACTTCCCGCCTACCAGACATCTGGAAACTAGCCCTAATCAACAAACGAGTCTGTTCTGTCCCAGCCTACATCCATCTTTGTTGCATCACAAAAACAAACCCCTCTTCAACAGTAGTCATCTGCGTGGAGGTGTGCTGTGAGTTATTGAACACAAACTCAGCCACCGCCAGATAGTCCACCCAATTGTTCTGCTGCTGATTGACATAGCAGCGCAGATATTGCTCCAGGATCCCGATGACCTTCTCGGTCCCTCCGTCAGTTTGGGGATGATGTGCAGATCTTGACATACAATGCCTGCATCAACCCCTGCCAGAAACGGGCTGTGAACTGGGCCCCTCTATCGGACATGACCCTATCAGGAAGACCATGCAGCCGGAACACCTGCTGGATGAACATGCGACCGGTGGCATGGGCAGACGGCAAGCCACAGCATGGGATGAAATGCGCCATCTTGGTCAGCATGTCCACCAACACGAACACCGTTGTGAATCCAGAAGACGGGGGTAAGTTCGTCAGGAAGTCCATGGACACAGCCCCCCAGGGTCTTTTGGATGTCGGCAAGAACTGCAGTAGTCCGGGTGGGGCCCCTGTCGCTGACTTGGCCTGCCTACATGGGATACAAGATGAGACGTAGGTCTGGACGTCGTGTCGGACTCGGGGCCACCAGAAGGTACGGGAGACCAAGTTCAGGGTCTTGAACAGGCCAAAATGCCCCGCCGCCGGATTGTCGTGACACTGGCTGAGGATGAGTCCCCTGAGCGGCCCTCCAGGAACATAGAGCCGATCACGATAGTGGAGGAGTCCATCTGTGACTGTCCATGGGGAATTGGGCCCCACCTCCTCCTTTCGCTGAGCCACCCACCCATCCTGCTGCTGGGCCTCCTGAATCCGAGCCCGTACATCTATCGGCTTCCGCACCGCAGCAAAAGACTCGATAGGGAGCACTGTCCTGGGCAGAAGCTTGTCTTCTGCTCGGGAATATTCGGGCTTCCTGGACAGAGCATCCGCTCTTTGATTGTGACCGCTGGGTACGTATGTCACCCAGAAATTGAACCTCGCAAAGAAGAGAGACCACCGGATCTGGCGTTGGTTCAATTTCCGAGCGGTCTGCAGGCTTTCCAAATTCTTATGGTCCGTCTGGACCTCGATTTGATGACGCGCCCCTTCCAGATGATGCCTCCAGGCCTCGAACGCCACTTTAATGGCCAGTAGCTCCTTCTCCCAGATGGTATAGTTGCGCTCTGCCGGATTCAATTTCCGTGAATAGTACGCGCAAGGGAAGAGGGCACCACCGGGCGTCGTCGCCTGAAGTAACACCGCCCCAATGGCAATGTCGGAGGCATCCGCCTCCACAACAAACGGTCGTTGCGGGTCAGGATGCTTCAGGATGGGCTTCTTCATGAAGGCTTCCTTCAAAGCCTGGAAAGCCCATTGTTCTGGAGCGTCCCACTGGAACCAAGTCTTTTTCTGCAGGAGCCGAGTAAGGGGGGCTGTCATGGTAGCAAACCCGGGGATGAAAGTCCGATAATGGTTGGCGAACCCAAGAAGTCGCTGGACATCCTTCACATGACGTGGGGGTTGCCAACTCTGCAGAGACTCAACCTTACTCGGCTCCATGGCGATGCCCTCGGGAGAAATGCGGTGACCCAGGAACTTGATAGTCGTCTGGTAGAACTGGCACTTCTCTAGTTTGGCATATAGCCAATGTTCTCAGAGCTGCTGCAGGACCTGATGGAGATGCTGATGGTGCACCTCTCGCGATGGGGAGTAGATCAGGATGTCGTCCAAGTAGATCACGACAAACTGATCTAACAAGTCCTGGAAGATGTCATTCATGAAGTGCTGGAACACGGCAGGGGTGTTGGTCAGGCCGAATGGCATCACCGTGTACTCGAAGTGGCCGTACCGAGTACCAAACGCCGTCTTCCACTCATCACCCGACCAAACTCTGACAAGGTTATAAGCTCCACGCAAGTCCAGTTTTGTGAAGATCTTTGCCTCACGGAGCCGGTCCAAGAGTTCGGGGATGAGGGGCAGTGGGTATCGGTTGCGCACCGTGATGGCATTTAATTTCCGATAATCACAGCAAAGCCGCAATTCACCGGACTTCTTCTTGACAAAGAACACAGGTGCAGACACTGGCGAGGACGAGGGCCGAATAAAACCCCAAGCCAAATTCTTGTCCAAAAAGTCCCGCAACGCGGCCAACTCGGGGTCCGACATGGAATACAAACGCCCCACTGGGAGAGGCGCGTCAGGGACTAAGTCAATGGGGCAGTCATAGGGCCTGTGCGGGGGCAATTGATCCGCCTCAGTCTCGCTGAAAACATCAGCATAATCTGCCAATTCAGAGGGTAAGGAGACCCCCATGGGCCCCTCTACCTGACCGGCACAGATGTGGCAGGTGTGATCCACGCACTGTAAGCTTGGAAAGGTGACCAAGTTCTGTGACCAATAAATCTGTGGGTCATGAGCCTGGAGCCATGGCAGTCCCAAGACCATGGGGAAATGCAGGTCTGATGTGATATAAAACTGGATGGCCTCCTCATGTGAACTGATGGCCATACATAGCGGTTGCGTGGCAGCCTTAATTGGCCCAGACAGGAGCACTCGACCATCAATGGTCTCCACTAACATCGGCGGATCCACCGGGCATTGGGGAATCGCCCATTTAGCCACAAATGCTGCGTCCATAAAGTTCGTCGTGGCCCCAGAGTCAATCAAGGCATGGACGGGAATCCCCTTGGGCAACCTAGAGAGAATCAGGCGTGCCTCCAAAATCAAATGCCCTGGGGGTCCGTGGGCAGCATCTGAAGGGTGTGGCTCGGTGTTGCGGGATGCCTGACCCAAAAGGCCTTTCAGGTTGGGCATGTGCCATTTCCCGACAGGGGAGCAGATGGCAGTCTTGGAACAGGCTCAGTCACAGATGCCCCTCGTCGCTTCTTGGGGCAGAAAGCGGCCAAATGCCCAGGGTCCCCACAGTAAAAACACAACCCCCCCGAACATCGCCTGTTCATCTCTGCCACTGATAGGCGAGGTCTGGCAGCACCTAACGCCATTGGCTCCTCCCTCTGGATTGGGGTCTCACGCACAACGGGGGCAGTACGGGTCTCTGGGGTGGCACGGCAACTTCTTCGCTGCTGCAGCCGGGCGTCGATCCGCAGACAGAGATGAATGAGCCCATTAAGGTCCGGGGGAAGATCAACACGGGCCAGCTCATCCGGCATCTCCTCCGACAATCCATCCTGGAAAGCGTCCACGAGCGCAGCCTCATTCCAGGCTGAATCCTGGCTA